CGCGGCGGCGCGGGGCCGGGCCCTTACCGATGCGCGGCACGTAGTGTTTTGCAGGAAGTTTCCACGCTCCTCGGTTTAATCCGCGCAAAGGGGGGTTGGAGAGGAGCGCGGCTGAATAGCGATGGAACGCCGCCTGCCAGCCGGAGGAGGAGGAGGAGGAGGCGGTGGGGACGCGGGAGCGGCCGACGGAGGAGCCCGACCTGGTGATCGAGGTGTCCGGGCGTCGCATCCGGGCGCACAAGTCGGTGCTGGCGGCCAAGAGTGACTACTTTCGTGCCCGCGCCTCACGGGACGTCCTGCGGGTGAAGGGGGTGAGCTACGGGGCACTGCGGCTTCTCATCGACTACGTGTACACAGCCCGCATGGGCGAGGTGCGGCACGATAACCTGGCCGAGGTGGTGAGCGGCGCCCGCGTCCTCCAGATGCCTTGCGCCCTGCACTGTGCCGCCGAGGCCATGCGCGCCCAGCTCCGCCTCGACAACTGCTACCAGCTCCTCGCTAGCAGAGCTGCGGGAGGCCGCCTACCGCTTCATGAGCGACCACTACCTGGAGGTGCTGCGGGAGCCCGGCGTCTACGGCCGCCTCACTGGCACTGAGCGGGACCTCATCCTGCAGCGGCGCATGGAGGCCGGCCGGCCCTGCTTGCTGGTGGCCGAGGTCAGTGATGCCTTCGAGCGGCCGGGTGGCGGCAGCCGGCCACAGAGCCGTGAGAGCAGCCGGCCGCAGAGCCCCTCCTCTGTGGTGTCGCTGGAGGAGAGCGGCTCCCTCATCCACTGCTACCAGGAGGCCAGCGGCGAGTGGAGGGTGCTGACACGCCTGCCCGAGGAGGCCAACGCCAAGGGTTGCGCCATGTGCGTCCTCCACAACTACCTCTTCCTAGCAGGGGGTATCACGGCGGGGCCGGCGGGCAGCGAGCCCCGGGCCCGCCTCTCCGACAAGGTCTTCTGCTACAACCCCCTCACTGATACCTGGAGCCAGGTGCGGCCACTGGCTCAGCCCCGCTCGCAGCTCAAGCTGCTGGCCCTGGACGGTTACCTCTATGCTGTGGGGGGCGAGTGCCTCTTCACCGTGGAGAGGTATGACCCGCGGGCCGACCGCTGGAGCCCTGTGGCACCCCTGCCCAAGGGTGCCTTCGCTGTGGCTCACGAGGCCACCACCTGCAATGGGGAGATCTATGTGTCGGGGGGCTCCCTCTTCTACCGCCTGCTCAAGTATGACCCCAAGCGGGACGAGTGGCAGGAGTGCCCTTACAATAGCAGCCGCCGGCGCTCTGCTGACATGGTGGCCTTCAAGAGCTTCATCTACCGCTTCGATGTGAGCAGCGGCCGCGGTGGGGAGCAGGGCCCAGGCGGCGGGACTGGCGGTGGTGTTGAAGTTTTCCGGTACAACACAGTGGCCAAGCGCTGGAGCCAGTGCGCTAGCCTGCGGCCCAGCGGCGGCCCCATCCAGCCCTTCCGCTGCGCCCCCTTGGGCAACACCATCTACTGCGTCAACCGGACCGGCACCCTCCGCTTCAGCCTAGCCCAGGACGGTGAGGTGGAAGCGGATGGCGGGCTCAAGGGTACCTTTGACGGGGAGCTTCTTAAAGCTCCCTTGGATGCCAAGGGTGTCCTCCTACCCTTTGTGCTTACCCTGCCCGAGAGGCTGGACAAAGCGGGGGACCAGGAGAGTTCCCTCCCGCTGTGAGGAGGCCAGCCTGGCTCTGGCCTCCCGAGTGGAGAGCTGGGTTGCAGCTGTGGGGGACCCACAAACTCCCCCCTGCAGAGGGGACCCTCTCTGGCGTGTCTGCAGAGAGAACGGGCTCCCCCTTTCCTCCTCTCTGCTCCCAAGATGTTGAGCTGGAGCCACTTGGTTGTAACTCGGTTGTAACTATTCTCGTGTTCGCTGTGCTTTGTGTGAAAAGCTGAGCACATGAAAGGAAAAGCTGCTAAAAGGATAATCTCTGGATTATGTTTGTGCCAATTCCTAATCTGAGAAAAACTTTTTTACACCTGGATTTCTAAAAAATTCCTGACAACAGTGTCGTAATGGGATGTTACCGTTAAGTGTTGGTCGCGTGTTTACACATAGTTGCAATCTGGGATGGAGCCTTTTCTGCCATTTGTTTTCTTTCTCTCTGGGATGATACCGAGGGATAAACACTGCTGGCAACATAGTTTAGCTGCATTTGTTTTTATGTTAAGCCAACTATTTCCTGTGTTAGAAAAGTATAGGAAGAATATCTCCATCACAGCCTTTCATTTCTGGTGCAATAGATGGTTTAAGGAAGACACGGCACTGTGTGGTCCCAGGAATTTCAACCACAATGAATGATTTAACAGATACCAGACGTAAAATTTTAAGCAACATAAATGTGTGCCACATGTTCATATTTGGAATTAAAAAAAAAAAAGGCAAGTTACTTTTTAAAAATGTGGCATATTATAGCAGATATGAAATGCTGTTATGTTCTTTATCTGAAAAAGGCAATGGTTTCTGTATAAGAAGACATCATTTTATTACCTTTCTTATCAGAGATTTTAAATTATAACAAAAATGAACTGAAGCTGTTCAGATGCAACCGATTGACATGACCATGTATGCCACTAGAGTTGGGGGAAACATTTTGTACTTCGGCTGCTCTTTAATTAACTGCAGGTCAAGGAAAATTAACTTAAACCAACTGTAAATTCTTTGAAACTGACTGCAGACAGCTTAAATGTTTCACTGTATGTTCAATATCCTGTGGCAAGAGGCTTTTCCAACTTAGTGCAAGACCATCAAAGAAGGATATGGAAAACAGGAATGCGCTACACATGTTGAATATGTTGTGCACTAGCATGATGTTATTTCCCTATCTTTTGATTCAGAGACTGCTTTATTTATTTCGATCTAATGATTGCTGTAATCAATAAGTCCTTGTTAATTGCAGTACGTGCTGATGGCGTACGCTGTCATTGGGATTCTGAACCGCCCAAGAGCACTGTGTGTGGAGCAGCATACTAACAAGGTGAAACCATACAAAGCTTCTTCCCGCCTGTGGAAAGCTGGAGCATACTTTTTGTCATGTTACTCAGAACTGGAAAAGTGTAAACCGTCTACGCAGACAGACTATATTGAAAAGGGCACATGCATTTATTTTATACATTTTATATAAAAAAATCAATAGGCAAGGCAAATGTTTTAGCTTTACCGTAAATCACTGAGAAACCTTTTCTGAAAAACAGAAACAGTGTTTTTGCTATTGGTAATTCAGCCTGGAACTGGCACGGACTGTGGAAGGGAATTGTTTATACTCAAAGCTCTAGTATAGATTCATATTTTAGAAAGACATAGGGACCTTACATCAAAGAAAGCAGATCTTTCTATGTTTTATTAAGATGTTTCTGTTAAACAGGACATTAGCATTCTTATACGTTATTGCTAGTTCCAAAGGAAGGCAGCAGGCTCTGACCTAAGAGACACCATCTTCACACAAGAGAATACTGAAGTTTATAGATACTTCTTTCCTTCACTTTCATGTTGGTTGTTTTTTTTTTTTTACTTTTCTCCATCTGTCTTGCACAGGGTTTTAATGCAGCTGATTAGCCATCCTGTAGAAAACAGTGGTCCAGTCCTAAAAGTTCTTAACCAAGCGAGCCGATTCCCTAGTGAGTGAATTAAAGCATCACCCAGGTAGGAGCTGTAGGCCTGCAGAGTGTGACACTTATCTTAGCCTCAGTACAGGTCACTGCAGTGGAATTTAACACCACAGATGGCATATTTGTTAGTGATTCGCAAAGAAATTGATTTTTTTTTCACTGAATGATGGACTTAATTCTCAGATACGAATCCTTGGAAATGATGACTCTAAATTACAGCATTGTAGCTTGAGCAGGAAAGAAAAATGATATGTTTGCCTTCAGCATCATTTTTATGTTAACTGTAGAAAGTATTTCAAACTGTGTGGTGAAACACTTCGGTGCATACTTAAACTAAAGACATAAGTGCTAGACCAGGTTTTGAATTAGTAGAGTCACCAGGAACACACAAGGAAATGTCTTGTTTTATCTCACAACACAATAAAATTTCATAGTTCAAAATATTATGTAGTATGGTTCTTATACTACAGCATAGTGAGAAATCAAGCAAACTTTTGCATTCCTATTAATTAAGCATTTTCATTCTTGCTAATGCATGAAAATGCTGCTAAATGAGTTTTGGGAAGTCTCCATGATTTAAGCTGTAAAAATATGCCACAGACTTTCAGGAAAGAATGAAACTTATCTTTCTTCCAATATTTGTTGCTGTATGCCATGAAGTATGCCATATTTGGACGTAATCTTTACAGTAATAAGTATTCTACGAACCTGCAGTGGTTTGTATTTTTGCTAGCTCCTGTTGTTAGGAAAGGTTGAATCAAGTGCTTACCCGCTTTCACTGTTTACACAGTGTGAGGGCAGAGTCTGGTCTTCATTAGTAGCTGTCTGTCAAACCTGTTTCCTTTGTACACTCTGTGCATAATCACAGCCTGATGATTGACAACAGAGGCATGTTTCTAGCCAGATTTCCTACTCCGTGGCTTCTGTTTCCTCCCTGGTAAGCCTGAGGCAGGTTTGCTGAGTTGTTTTTTCTCCCAGTTATATCTTCAGCATATCCAAAAAAGCCCCACGAAACTTGGGTATTAAAACCAGAATTTAGGTAGACTTCAGGCACTGAAGGCCAAAATTGTAATCCTACAACTCTCCACCCATGCAGAACCGCTCATCTCCGAGCAGTTACGCGCCTGCCTACCTACTGCCTCAACTCCTTTGAAACTACATGATGTGATACCCAGAAGCCGCTGGTGTAATGCGGTTTTATGGTACAAACTAAAGGGCCAGGCCACCTTCAGATCGTGTTTGCATATGTTTTGCTTTTAAAGCAGAGATATTTTATCTCATAGCCTGAAGGCAATTGTATTTGCATAGGAACACGGAGATATGTGTTCGCTTTCTTAGCGTGCAAAGGATTCAGTCCATATCTCCCACTGCCTGATTGGCAATGGAGTGAAGGACCTCTTGGAGCTAATCCCTGATCTTTAAATATTTATGCATTGTATATTATACATTAATTGGCTAAAATTCTCAGAAATGATCCAGGTAGGTACCTGGATTCAAACCCCCGTCCTCACTGAGTGATCTGAGACTAGCTGGAGAGACATAGTCCTCTCTGTTGTCTTTCTTCTCCATGAATCTCACAATCCCCTTTTCCCACTTTTAATAGGACGTGCAGGAGATAATTTTTCTGCTTCCTCCTCCCTAGAGTGCTCCTGTTTTCAGGGTCATCTGCTAGAGGACGGAGGCTTGAATTCCCTTAAGCTGAGTAAGGACTGAACGCAGGCCTCCCACTTCATGTGTGTGTGTTCTCAATTCTAGATTACTATTTAGAAGAAGAGTATCGGGACCACCTCCTACAGCTCTTTTTCAGGGATGAACCTCATGCAAATCCTCCAAAAGCACATACAGGCTCCTGCACCTTGAGTTCTGGGTAGGTTCCAGGCTCCAGCTCCTGGGTGGGTAATTCAGGACACATTTAGTACATCTTGGTGCAATTGGGCAAGTTTTCTTCTGTGGAAAGCTTTTCCAGACAGGCGCTCTATTTTGGGCTGCCAGTCTAAGCTGAGGGACTCCATCCACTGTACTGTGAGGCCAAGCAGGTAATTTGGATTCTTCTCAGGGGTGATGCCTTGGCAGAGAGGCATTGCAGTGCCTAACATGGAAATGCCTAAAGCCTTCATTGCATCTAAAACTAAATCCCTGCTACACTAAAGAAACAAGCCTTCTTAGCAAATGCTAATAACAGATGGAACTTTACTATTTCCATCTATTAACTGGTTCCGTAAAAAGAAATCTTAATTGCAGCAAAGGCATTTGTACAAATTCTGTTTACACTTGGAAAGTAAGTCAAAGGAATAATTGGCAAAAGAATAACCCTATTTGATCAAAACAGGCACTGTTAAGCAACATGGGAAGGATGCTAATCATACCCTATTAATGAATAAAATTGTGCAGTAGCTGTTGTAAATTCTGTCCACAAAAAATTTCTTTGTAAATAAGTACCTGGTAAAATTTAAGGTGATAAAAGAATAAATTATTCACATGAAAGCTTTAACTCTCCTGTGCTGTTTGATTGGCTCTCAGAGTGTTGTATCCTGCTCATCGCTATTCATGAGTGGCCTGTTGCTTTTCCTGCTTTACGGTGTCCATTCCGTTGACTGCTCCATAGATGCGTTACCCTTCATTATCACAAAGCTTAACAGTGGCACTGGGGTGATTTGCTTTGTGTCTGGACTGACATGTAGTGCTTTCTGCTTGAATGAACCTAGAAGATTTGGACAGAGTTGTATCTTTGGGCTTTTTTTTTTTTTTTTTTTCAGTGGCATTGCTCCTGGGAAACTTAAGAAAGCACAAGAAAGGGAAATGGTGGTACCGTTGAGCAGTTGTAGTAACAAGCATTTAATGAATTTCTTTTTTGTCTGCCATTATTCTGCGCACCAGACTCGCATTGGATTTAACAGAACATCTCTGTGTAGCTATTATCAGTATGAGCCCGAGTACTATTGTGGCAAGGTATGTTTTTATTTAAGTATATTTACTGCCTCAACTCCTACTCTGAGATAATTTAATGCAAGTTTGTGGTAGTTCCACACATTTAGTAGATTGCTGGAACTATTCTGACTTTACATT